GTACATTTTTTACCCCTAATAGGTACATATTAGTAACTTAGAGTAGTAATATGTACACTTAAGGTACTAATATGTACCTATTAGCGGTAAAAAATGTACAAATATGTCCTTTTAAGGCTACTGCTCCAGGGACAAGCTGTTGTATTCCAAAAGGTACAATTCTGGCCCCTTATTTTTCTGTGTGTAGGTAAATTTAACAATAAATATGCTTTTTTATGTATTACATGTAAAAAGAAAGTTACATATTTGTTACTTATTTAAAAATGTGCTGTACCTTATATTACGTCAATTTAAACAGCAATATATTATTTTATGTGAAAAAAAAACTGATTACATGAAAAAAATCTCACTAAATAAAATGTTACTCATTTTAAAAAAGTGTGTGCACACAAAAAAACCTGTTTTAAATACTAATTATGTGAAAAAAATCTGATTACATATTACTTTTTAACAAAAAAAGTAATTGAGATTGTGTAAATTTAATGAGCAAAGTATTACTCGTTACATGATAATCTGATTATTTAAAAAAAATTGATTACATAATACATTTATCATTTGAAAAAGTTACTGACAGAGTGTAAATTTAAAGAACAAAGCCTGTTGTGTGAAAAAAATCTGATTGTGAAAAAATTACATAAAATGTTTTTTGAAAAGAAATTTAAAAACTGATATTGTGTAAATTTAATTAGCAATGTATTACGTTTTGAGTGAAAATCTGATGTAAAAAAAAATCTAATTAACGTGAAGAACTCTGGATCATTATTTGAAAAAAATAACTGATACTGTGGAAATTTAACAAGTAACATATCACTAATTACTTGAAAATCAAATTATTTAAAAAAAAATGTGATTACATAAAATGTTACTTATTTGAAAAAAGTAACTTGTATTACATAAATTTAAGTAGTATCATTACTTGCTGCATGAAAAAAAAAGATTTTGTGAAAAATCTGATTACATAACGTTACTTTTAAAAACTGTAACTGATATTGTGTACATTACAATAACATTCAATGTATTGCTGCGTAAAAAATGTGATTATGTGAAAAAATCTGTTTACACTAAATGTAATTTAACAAAGTTACTGATATTGAGCTAATTTAATGAACAACGTATTGTTGCATGAAAAAAATCTCATTACATGAAAAACCTGATTACATAATACATTATTTATTTGAAAGAGTAACCGGTATTGTGTAAATTCATTAAGCAACGTATCACTTGTTGCATGAAAATCTGATTACGTAAAAAAAATCTGATTACATACAGTAACACGATACTTCAGTAACTGATATTAGATTAAATATTTGACTGAAAAAAAATATCTGATTATGTAACATGCAGTACTTATTTGAACAAAATATCTACACAAGTCACTACTCATCGGGAACAGCAATTCAATAACGCAACTTGTAACGTATTACCCCCCAAAACACTGGTGACCACTATTACAAAATCATGACATATATACAGAAGAGCAACCGTCTGTGCAGCATTCATGGCACTGGACATCTAGCAGACTTCACTGCCCTAAAACAACATCACACTTCCTGCAGCTGCCAACAGCCAAGGTTCCAGATGTCTGACGGTTAGGTGAGACGTGTGAAAACAGACTAGGGCCTGTCCTGAGAGGGAAAGCGAGCGTCAAACAGTTCTGGTTAAGGCCTGGGCCACCCTCCCTCTCCGTACCCCCTCTGCAGGAATGTGCTCTGCCAGCCAGAGCAAACTGAGGTTTATCTACAGCGGGATGACTGGAATCGCCTCGCAAACGAGCCTTACCGCAAACTCAATCATCAGAACTAAACAAAGAACATTTCACAGCTTGAAGTTCAGACCATTAGATCCTCTTTCCTAAAGTTCCACTGCCTGTATCCTCCTGCTGCTTTCCCAGGTTAACAGCTCGCATGGGAAATATAACCGTGAAAGGACGTCAAAGAGGTTGTGCCACTCATGGATAATGAAAACAGTGAACTGTGGGAACATAGATCACACATCAAACCAAACTGTGCACTGCAACAGTGTAATCAGAGTCCAATATTAACACTCAGATGTGAGTAGATGATGACTTGTCAACAGCTAAATTAGAAGTTAATTGATTTTTGATTGATTTTAATTGATAGGGATGGGTACCGATGTTTTAAAACAAAAAGTACCAATAAGAATACCGTTAAAGTACCGAATCGATAAGCAGTATCGGTAAGAGTAGTAATACCGTTAAAACCTTAACGATACCCATCCCTATCTGTGTGTGCTAAAGGTCCAGGGCAGGTTGTACTGCAGGTCCCTGACAGGCCCATTTCCAGTGGCCTTACGCTACCTAAACCAGCCCAAAGTGAGTCTGCATAGGAATTGCCCTTGAGTACTCTCCTGCTGCAGGGAGAGAGGGAGGGAGGGAGGGGGACAACTTCTTTAACACACACTGCCTGGAGCCCAGATAGTGTAGACAGTGATGCTGAAGCAGGGGCACAGGACCCGTGCCAGCCTACAGA